AAGGGTTTCTTCTTGACTGTGTGTCATACCATAATTACTCAATTCCTTGTCCATTGACATCCATTCATCACACTCAACATAGGGAAAGGAAAATTAGATGCATAGTATATAATTAAATGCACTGTATAAAGGAAAATTTAAATTAGGTACTATTCTCTAATTCACAATTATCCTAAATTAGATGCATAGTATATAATTATATACATTGTATAAAAGAAATTGTAAACTAGGTACTCTTCTCTAATTCACAATTATCCTTAATGGGCAAAACATTTCATAGAAAAATCAAGAGAACTGTTGATCTTGATTCTTATCTTTTAACCTCTATATATAACTAACTATTTAAAACTTTCTTCAATCCTCTCTAGCTGTAGCCGCCTCATCCTACTTCCTCCTCTCTTAACCCTGTAAGTTACTCTCTCTCTTTCTCACGTCGCACACACTCATAAAGAGGAAGAGGGTGCGTTTTTGTGTTGCTTTTTGTGTAGGTAGTGATGTTGGTGGAGAACCCATCATTTCTTATACTTATGATTCGATGGTAAATCTTTCTGATTTGATTTTCTTGAGTTTCGATAGAGGTATGTTTGTTCAAACTCCTCAATTATTGCAATTCTATTTAAATCTGGAAAGAAATGCTTTGTTGTTTGGCAAGCTACTGGCGGCGATTTGATTTTTGAAGCAAATGGCAAGGTCGCCATGGTGCTGATATTAGGATCTTTGACTTTCCTTATTCAGCTTGTGATGGTGTCACTTCACCCTTTTTCTTTACTTCTTTCGTGCCCTATTTGTTATTTGCTATGGCATAGGATTTGGTCCAGTTTGAGTGATCTGAAATTTTATGCATGGTTTATGTCTTCTCTTCATATTCTATTTCATTTGATTTAAACAAAAATCAATTGATTGTGTTGGCATTCTTTCTTTTGTGCAGTTAACCATAAAGTCTGAAAAAGCACATGATGATAATGATGATCAAGAGAATAAAAGTACCATTAAGTATCACAACATGTTAATCTTTTCTTATGAGATCAATGGCATACCAGAGGTATTTTAATATGTTTTTTTGGCTGGTAAGATGCTTTAGCATGAAACGTAGATGCTGTTTTGAAGTATTGATTATCAAGTTCTCTAATCAAAATACCTATAAATAGATATTTTTTGTAGTTGAATATTGGGTCTTCTTTCAAGACTATTTTCACAAGCACCATTATAACTACTTCTTCATCTACTTAACTCTAGCCTTTATCTGTCCGGTTAGTCCTTCATATGTTAATCGAATATGAGTATTTAAATTTCTGTTCAGAACTAACAAAATCAGAATAAAAAATATAGCCATTGAAATAGGCCCACTATAAAAAAAAAAATTGACTTTTAGCGGCGACTTTTTGTCGCTATTGAAAGTTTTCAATGACGACTTGTCGTTGCTGAAAAGTTGTTGCCATAGCAGCCGTGGCTGAAAACTTTTAGCGACAACTAAAAAGGTCACTACTAAAAGACACTTTCAACAACGACTTTTAGAAGTTTTAGCGGCGATATTTGTTGCCACTGAAAGACACTTCCGCTAAAAGAATTTTCAGCGATGACAATTTGTTGCCGCCAAAAGGGATGCTCAGTGGCGACTTTTTTGTCGCTGTTGAAAGTGATGCCTAAAAGGAATTGGCTTTACTAATGCCACGTCATCACCACCGGCTGCCACGTCATTACTAGCCACCTCCACCTCATCATCGACCAGGTGCCACGTCATCACTAGTGACCTCCATGTCATTGCCACATCACTCCTCCCCACCACGTTATCGTCCAAATATTTTCACCTTAAATGTGTCTTCTTCAAGGTTCAAACTTGTGACCACCTCTTTCGTTCCAATCTTCTTGCCGTTGAGCCAGATTGAATTTGTTTATTACTATTGTAAAATAAAATATATATTATTATATTACACTTTCAGTGGCGACATTATAAAGTCGCCACTGAAAGTCAGACCTTTATCGGCGACACTAATAGTTGTCACTGAAAGTGAACCCAGTGATTACATCACCTTCTGCTCAAAAGTATACTTTTAGTGGCCACAATAAAATGTCACCGCTGAAAGTCAGGCCTTTAGCGGCAACACTAATAGTTGCCGTTGGTCGCCGCTGAAAGTGAACCCAATGATTACATCACCTTCCGCTCAAAGGTATACTTTCAGTGGCGACCTTTTGTTGTCGTCGCTGAAAGTCCACTTTCAGCAGAAAGTCATCGTCTAAAGTCTTTTTTTTTTTGTAGTGCCCTGGAGTAAACTAATGATTTAGCATGAGTACTTTGAATGGAAAGCTTAATCAACATAATACTGGAGGAGTTTCTCAAGCTACTGCTCCTTTAATATTCCTAAGGCACTCAACAGTGATTGGTGCCAAATTTTGTAGTTTTCTAAGTTAGTTTGGTATTTCTTTTGATTCTTAGCTTATTATATAACAAACGACGAATGCCTCATAAAACAAATCAACAGCATCAATTGTCTCTTAAAGCCATAATCTTTGATTAATGAATTTCTTTTTCTTGGTTTGGTTTTCTTGTTTCTTGTACGTTAGCCAATACTATTGTCTGTGCTTCCACGATTAAAGTAAAGGCACTATACTCAGCTGATAAATTTCTTTTGCATCCATGAGCTCTCACTGAACACTAATTTTCTGGGCAACCAAAGTAGCACTTATCGCTGGACGGAGTATTTGTCAACTTCGAAAAACTGGTTGCTGGGCATGCCTTTATATTCCTAAGACAGATTCCTAATTAGGTGCGCACCTTTGCTTCTGTCTTATATAGATTAAAAGAGTTGGATTTTTATTTCTTGCTTCTGTTATTTAGTGTAGTGAAGTCGTTTTTCTTTCATCTTGACAATTTGAACATGTACAGACACCTAAACACATAAGCATGTGTTTGAACTTGTGATTTCCCTTCACAAAATGCGCATCAAAAAAATATTTTAGCAACAGTGATTGATTACAAATAATGGTAAAAACTGTTGATTTGTCGTAAATATTTTGAATGGAAAGCTTAATTCGTTGATATCTAGAGGAATTTTGTCAATCTGCTATCCCATTTCAGTAATCACCTCAACATATTTGGTACCCAATTTATACATTTTCTGAAATAAATATTTTAAGAGTTTTCGAGGAGTTAAGCTAATTTACAAGAAACAGGTTAGCTGGAAATTTTGTACAGCAGTGAAACTACGAAATCTCTGAATTGAATTTACTTTTTTACAGCAAAAGAGTTCTTCTAGTGAGCGATTCACCTTTAGAAAGCAGTGATGGAGCTGGAATCTTATAATGGAGACTACACTTTGAGGTTCCCTAATCAGGAGACCTCTGACTAGAAGAACAGATGACAATGTGTGGGAGAAAAGATGACTAATAGAGATATATACACTTAGAGAAATTGTTGGAGAGCTGGGGATAACAATGGAGCAAGTATGAATCAGGAATAGGATGTTTGCCAATCAAATCAAGGATATACCGAAAGTACATATACTGATAAGTATACTTTTTTATTGTACATTCATTTTGATATATTTTTTACTTGCACTGTAACACAAACCCATACATTTCTTAAATAGTTTGTAATTCAATTTGAACTGCAAACTAAATTTTATATTAAGGAGCAGAGGTAGTATAATACTTTTGAAATAATGTTGGTGTAGTTTGTAGATAAATCACCAGCGATATTTAACACTCATCATACAATTTATTCTGCATGTCCAACTTTGGACTTTATATCCTTTCAATAAATTCGTCACATGTTAGACCAAATGAAAAATTCTTCATTTGTTAATTGATTATAGCTATTTAAGATTATGTTCGTACGAAGGCCATGAGATTAGATCGAAGGACAATGCGGCTACTTATTGCGGCGGTAGTGATTTATTAACTAAAAATTAAAGAATGGTTAAAATAAATGATTTAGTTTTATTTTGAATTGAAAAATTAATGGGCATCTCTCCGAAATTCTAAAGCTACTCTACTACTTCATAATCCTGATAGTATGTTTGGTATGAGGAAAATGGGGGGGGGGGATTTTTTAATAGTTAATTTGAAAAATTGAAAAACTATTAAGGTTATAAAATTTTAATAAAGAAAATGTATGAGATAAAGGGTTAAGAAAAATTAATTAAAAAATGTTAATATCGTTTCTTCAATATTTTAAATCGAACTTATTAAAAACAATTTTCCCTATCCTTTATTTCTGTTGTTCCAAATAAAGCTAAGTTACTATATAGATTGGTGCATATATGCTTTCCTCAAATATGTTTGGTTTTATATTGATGCAAAGCTTATAAAAAAAAAAACATAACAAATGAGCAATGCCTCATTATGTGAATTAAACAAGATCAATATTCGTTAATTTAACCCCTCCCGGTCGAAGAATATTCTTTAATTTATTACTGAATTAAAATAAAGGCACCTATAGGAGTAAATTGTGTTACTCCTCCAAAGGCATGCATATTATGTCCATGAAGGTGATAAGGGAGCAACCCCACGAGAGTAATGGTGGGAAAAATAATATTTTTTTTAAAGGTTGAATTAACTTGTACTTTTTTTCCTGTGTTACAGCGTTAGTTTTTTGGGTGAATTACAAGCTAAATATAGTCTCTATCTCATCAACTGTTAGTTTTTCTTTCTTGAAACAATTCTGAAATCCATCAACTAAAAAAAGACTAGCAGTTATTTAAACAGAATAACTGACAGAGGAAAATTTGCAGAATGGTAAAAAAAAAAAACATTAATTTATTGACCTTCATTCCATTGACAAATTCAACATAACAATATCGAACAATGACTTTATTTGAAAGCAACTTGCAAAGAGAACAATAAAACTCAACAAATTTCATATTGATACATTTCTGCCGTCAAACTACCCTTAATCTCAAGGAACAAATTAAATTAATAAATGAATAACGAATAAAAGGAAAATACAAGAATTAATATGTTAGACAAATTTCTTCCTTGGACTTTGTCCACTAAAATTAAAATCAACACTTGGGCATGTCGGTAGGTGGTGGTAGCATCTGTTGGTCAGGATTGTTACCATTCTTCACAATGAAAGTCATAGCCATTCCCCATGTCACGTGACGCTCCAAATGACAATGCATGAACCAAACACCTACATATATCCAAGCCAAATATGTATAACATCTATTAATCTTTAAGATTTGAAATGTTATGTTGCTCGTGGGCGGGAGTAAATGTAAAATATATACCTGGATTGTCAGCAGTGAATCTTATGGCGACCCAACCATTTTTGGGTATGGTCACAGTGTTTTGATAGGGAGGATCAACAAGGTTGTAATTCAAAGTATCCTTTTGCTCGTCAAAGTTTCCGAATCCCCAGCCTACGACATAGAAACTATATCCATGCAAGTGAATAGGATGTTCTGTTCCAGTAAGCACATTAGTTCCCTGAAGAACAAGCTCCACCGTGGATCCGTACTCAAGCACCTTCACCTCTGTGCCCACTGACGGAGTCAACAAGAACTGAGGCAAATCGTTTCCTGTAAAATCAAAGTTCAATGGCGGAAAATCTGGGAACTTGTCCCCATAGACACCACCAACGTTGTTATGGTAAGCCTGCAAGATGTTAGCCCCAGGAGGCAATTGGAAGCTGATATTGTTCATACTGGCAGCAAGACGATCGCCATTAATTGGACCAGCACATGCTGAACCATTCTTACACGGTAAGGTGTTCACAGACACTGTGTAGAAAAGCTTGTTGCTTATTTCTAATGGCACATCAATGGGGTGGTTATTGTCTGCTAAGCTTTTGAATTGGCTCAGTTGCTCGGTGGTTGCGATGGTGTCGTTTGAGTCTGGAAGCAAAGGCACGGAAGGGACTGTTGAAGTTGGCATATTGTGTCTGCTTCGTTTGTATTGAAGGATGGCAGTGGTGTTTGAAGGGCTAAAAAGCACATTAGGAGAACTGGAATATGCTTTGGCAGCCATGTAATAGCGACCTATTGGTTGGTTTGCTTCTAATAGAACATCCATAGTCTGACCAGGTGAGATTGTGATGTAATCTACTTTCACAGGCTTTATGTAGCTTCCATCTGTTCCCACCACTGTCAGTTTATGATTGGCAATTCCAAAGAAGAGAACTTGTTCCAGTGCTGCATTGATCACTCGAAGCAGATAGGTCTTGCCATGTCGAACACTCAGCTCGAAAGTTTCTGCCATAATTATATTACTAACATCAATTTTTTTTCATAAGAGAATCAACATATGGATAGTTGTTCAAAAAAGCACAATTTTGGTATATAAATATATATGTATGTATAATTACCAGAATTGGAGCATGGATAAGAATCACCAGGTTGGCCATTAATGGTGAAAGCATCAGACACCACGGGGTCCCCTCCGCTTGTACGAAAGTCATTGTAAACCTGAACGATGTCTTGTTTCCACCATTCTCCTGCATTTATACAATTTACAAGTTTATAGTTAAGTTATGGTCTTTGAAAGTGTATATTAAAAACTGGAGTTCTCAAAAAATATATGATCACGAGTTCGATACCTAATATAATGGGAACTTCAGCGTGTGGCTTTGGAAATGGGTAGTTAGTTCCAGGCTTGGGATTGATGACAATAGCACCATGAACTGTGGCCCGGGAGTAGTCACTGTGAGCATGCCACCACAGAGTGCCTTCCTCCTCAGAAAATATGACCTTTTGGCTAAACTTGTGACCTGGTTTTATTGGACACTGAGTGATAAATTCAGGACCATCCGACCATGGATATCTTGGCTGGTTCACTCCATGCCTGCAAATCAATAATTTTCAATAGTTAAGCTTACGAGTTTAGTAATGTCCTGGCCTGGAGAGATAATGCAGAAAGCCAGGGTTTGGTTTGTTTACCAGTGGATGGTGATACTCTCGTTGGCTCGGTTATAGACATCAACAATGATGGTTTCACCCTTGGTCACGTACAACGTTGGTCCTGGAAACTGCCCATTCACTGTCAATATGTTTTTGGTGCTGCAAAGCCTTGTGTACGAAGTGTCTTTGACCTGCACACATTAAACACAAGCGTCAAGATGCAATTAACGTCACTGCTATTTTGTATTTAATCTCATCTCAGAGAGTCATTACTTGGAAATATTGATGTTAAACTGAATTATTATCTATTATCTTCATGAGAACGTACCTCGAAGGTATAGTGTCTTACTGCATAGGAACCTAGGACGTTATTGAGGAACAAAACTCCTAATATCTGCAAGATCAATATTACTGAGATTTTCATGACAGCGTCTCTGAACCAAGAAATGCCCGAAGAAAGAGTTGATCTCCACAGATTACTAAAGTTTCTGTTTGTTTCTTCAAGAAAGGCTCCCCTCTCTCTCGATTAATATTGCTGCGCCTCTTTGGTAGTTGGGAAAGAGCTCTGATTATATTGTTTTTGTGTGATTGATGATGTTTGAAATGAACATGCAGGTATATATATACAGTGTTGTGAGAGGCTTTGACATGAACATAATTACGCGTAAGAATACTTTTCCATTTGTGTGGCTTGTGCTTTTCAGCTTAAATTTGTCCAAGTCTCTCTATCGCCAGGTCTTTCTCAAAATATTCTTTCTGACATAAATGAGCTACTTGGTCATCACAAAACGAGGTGTAGTAGTTTGTTGTCTTAGCTTAGTTTGGTGTGGAAATTGCAATACACTCACGGATAACGAAACAAAGTTGAACAAGTACATATGCGTAGTTTGGAAGTTTCTTTGGATAAGAACAAGTTCATGCATGGTTTTGCAATAAAATATTGAAAGGTCAACTCTTCATTATTTCTCAGTGTCTTTAATAAATGATGAAAATCCAAAACCCACAAATGTAGAAAGTCAAAGCCTAAATAAATACACGAAAGCTACCATAGGGTCAAATAAGTAATTTTCAAAAAACACCAGTTTATTGATTTCATTGACCCACGTTGGTTCAACGTTGGCTACCAAGATTCCTTTCAATCATTCACAAAGTTAAATATCCCCCCCCCCTTACTATTAACTACTCCCATGCATCATCATCATGGAAATTCTGACGTACCTATCCTATGTATGAGACTGAGAAAGAAAGGTTTTTTGTCTTATTTATAAATTTCCATTAAATTCTTAGTATATATACTATTTTATCATTTATTTATTATAGTATAGATAGTTATTTTTTTAAAATGTGTATATGTTAAATAGTAATAAAGTGGAAAATTTGTTATATTTTAAATAACAATTAATACAATTTAAAGTTTTTCTTAATCTGTATGAAATATATTAGAAGTGTTCTATAGATAGAACCAAAAAAGTATTCCATGATAGAATATGTTTTTTTTATAACAATAATAGAATGTGTTTGTCCCCTAAGTTTATAACTTTTTTTCCTAATCTCCCTCTATTAATTGCATATTTTGGGTTGACAAAAAAAAGTTACACTTATGGGGGGATGTTTTCCTTTAGGAAAGTGATTTCAAATGCAGATGATTCCAAAGAAATAATCTAGAAGACCAACATAAATTTATTACAAATAAAATAACTTAACTAATTTTTTTAAATATTTGCAAAATTAGTTACTAGCTCCAACGCTTAAAACCGGAGATGATATGTTTTTTAAAAAGAACTGTTTTATGTTTCATAGCTGTCTTCCCACCGGCCCATAAATGATGAAACATGCAAAAGAATTGACCACCTTTTCATATTTGAAATCATGAACTTGTTCCCATACGAAGATTCGAAATTACAAAATGCCATTGGAAGCAAGAAGAATATGTAATATAATCTTGCTATTGAGCCAAAGACTCATGAGCCTCCAAGCTGTATTAGTTCCATCGCTGATTAGTGACTTTCTTATACAATTTCTCGGTCGGCCGTTGGCTGCCGCGGCTGGTGCATTCAGATGTAGGCTGCGACCAGTATGTCATAAATTTGAGCCCCACACGTTTTTTAAAGTAAAGGATATGTTTAATTCTTTAATTATATATAAGATTTTAATTTAATCACTTAACTTTAAAAGAACTATAAAATTATTAACAAAAATGATGATGTGGAGATTTTAAGTGTTACTAAAACATTTTCAAATACTAATAGGTTTAATTTTTAAAACAATCATGATTGTTATAAAAAATCATCATTTAATATTCAGGGAAAAAAAAACTACTGCTTTCATTTTTATTTTAAAATAACACATTATTTCTTTTGTCCATAAAAAAAATACTACCTCTAGTCCTTAATACATAAAAGATATATAATTAATTTAGGAATATTAAAAAAATTAATTAAATTAGTTATTTATAATAAATATATGTTGGTTTTTTTGAATTATCCTATTTAATCATTTGTTTTAAAATGACCCCTTATTCGAAGAAATCCCTTATAATTAATAAGGATATTTTAGAAAAAATTTATAAATTTGAGAGAAAAAATTTATTGAAGTAAACCAAATTTGATCTAACCCTTCAAATACTAGAACCTATGGCGAGCAACGTGTTGTTTGATATAACAGCTCTAACTTTTGTCAAAGAGAATATTTTGATAAGGACGTAGGCGCACAAATTTCAAAGATCATGCTCATGATGAATTAAAATCCCCCAAAACAGTAGCAACACAAGATTGAATATTCTATATTCTTACGCGTAATCATGCTGACGTCAAAAGCCTCTCATCAAAACTACCCACACTCCTTTCATTTTCATTTTGAAAATGTCCTTGTCTAAAACTAAAATGTTCCTTTTCTATTCTGAAGCTAACAGTTGTGTTAATTTTTAATTTATTATTGGCTTCACTAAAAAATTATGAATTGATTTTTCTTATGAACATATTTAATATAAGTTGTCTTCAGGCCACTTATGTAAGTGTGTCACCATTCGAGGTTTATGAGTAGCTTGATTCTTGTAATAAATTTTATATTGGTAAAAATTAATCACCAATTCCCTATAATTTTACCTCATTTTTAATTAATTTCTTATAGTTTTTCATTTTAACTGGGTTCTCATAGTTTTCTTATTCTAAGCATTGGCCCAGAGCGCCAGACTCATAATTTGTTAATTTGTAAGAGGAAAGATATCAATGCGGCTCTCACATATGCATGAAACTCCAATAATTTTGCCACCCAGATCTAAAAAAATCGAAATCAACCAAATTACATATGATATATAGATACAAGGAGACCATTATGAGTATAATAATTTATTTTTATGCTGATAATAAATAAATTTTATTTCATCGTTTTATTTTTAAAAAGCCTATATTTTTACTTTATATATTGTGCCGACTGACACGTCACCATCTACGCAGGTCCTAATTAACAAATTGTGAGCATACATATGAATAGATACAACTGAAGAGACGGTAAGGACACAGGTTATTCAATAAAAAATTATTTAAACCTTATTAAAAATTAAGTGAAATTAAGGCAAAAATAATAGGTGACAGGCGACGCATGCCTTTGGTAATCAATATATAGATAATACACTTGATTAAAGCTATGAAGATCAACTATTACCTCTTGTCCTTAATACAAGAATTAGTTGACTAATTTAAGCAGATTAAGAAAATTAGTTAAGTTAGTTATTTGTAATAAATAGGTGTTGTCTTTTCTAAAATACCGTTGCTAATTATATGTATTAGCTAGAATTATTATTTGATGAAATATTTAACATGTACAACTACTACAAAGATTATTTTGAAAAAAAATAGATAAATATGAGAGGCAAAGTGAATTAAGGTCTTACATTTAAAATCAAATTAAATATTAAACTAGCTCTTATATTAATGACAGAAATAGTATTATGCATGTTAATTATTATATTTAACTAGCGAACCTCTATTCTAACTTAATTGGATGTTCAAATTTTGGGACATAAGTTGATGAATGATTGAAAAGAATCTTGTTAGATGCCATCTTTGAAGGATGAACAATTATGAATGTTAATAATAAATTGTTTTTTAATTAGTCGACTGTATCACAATAATATTCAAATCGTTTCTGGTGAATTTATTTAGCCATTCTTTGACTTGTTATGTCCGTGGGGTTTTGGATTTTCATCATTTATTACTTATATTTGTTAGCCCACAAATGAAGAAACATTCAAGAATTGACCACCTTTGCATATTTGAAAAACCACGAACTTGTTCTTAAGTAAAGAAGCTTCCACATATGTCGCAATTCCACTTTAAGTTAATTAAGCTAGAATCTATATAACAAACTATTTGATACCACAGCAAGTTTTTTTTTTTAATTTTAATGAAACTAATAATCTGGCAGTGTTTTTGAAATTAGTTGACCGTATATTATTATTCAAATGGCTTCAGTGTATTTATTGCGTTGTATTGTTTAGCCTTTGACCTTTTATATTAGAGGGTTTGGGATTTTTCATCACTTATCATATATTTGTGTATGTATTCTTAGAAGCTGATTCTTCTCTGTTATACGTCTGGTGCTTGTAAAAAAAAAAAAAAAAATTAGCTGGCTTTTTCCATCAAGCTACAAATGAGGAAACATTCAAAGAATTGACCAGGATTTTATAATCGAAAACAAAGCACAAACTTGTTCCTTTATATCAAAACGGCTCTCTCTCTCTCTCTCTCTCTCTCTCTATATATATATATATATATTATAAACTGGACAGGCCGGGAAATGATTGGATTTTATTAAAGAAGTTCAAATCAAAGAAATTGACCTTTCAATATTTTATTGGAAACCATATGCATGAACTTGTTCTTGCAGAAAGAAACTTCCAAACTGCGTATACTTGTTCAACTTTGTTTCGTCATCCATAATTATTTTGCATGAACACTGAGTAAAAGGAAAGACCTGGTGATAGAGAGACTTGGACAAATTAAAGCCCAAAAGCACAAGCCACACAAACTGAAAAGTATTCTTACGCGTAATCATGTGCATGTCATAGCCTCTCCCAACACTATATATATACCTGCATGTTCACTTCAAACATCATCAATCACACGGAAACAATATATATCAAAGCTTTTTCTCAATTACCAAACAAGCGCAGCAATATCAGTTAGCAGAGAGAGGGCAAGCCTTTCTTGAAGAAACAAACAGCAACTTTACTAATCCGAGGAGTTCAACTCTTTCTTCAGCCTTTCTTTGGTTCAGAGACATTGTCATGAAAATATCAGTAATATTGGTCTTACAGATATTAGGAGTTTTGTTGCTCAACAACCTCCTAGGTTCCTGTGCAGTAAGACATTGTACTTTTGAGGTACGTTCTCATATGAAGATGATGATTCAGTTTAACTATACATCCACGTAATTACTCTCTGAGATGAGATTATATATCAAAAATATACCTGGTAACTTGCATCTTGACGCTTGTGTTTAATGTGTGCAGGTCAAAGACACTCCATACACAAGACTTTGCAGCACCAAAAGCATATTGACAGTGAATGGGCAGTTTCCAGGACCAACGTTGTACGTGACCAAAGGTGAAACCATCATTGTTGATGTCTATAACCGAGCCAACGAGAGCATCACTATCCACTGGTACGTTTATCAAATTCAAACGAACCAAATTCAAACGTTCATTTTCTGCATCTCTAAGAGATATTTAATTTATTAAAGGTTCGAAATTATTGATTGGCAGGCATGGAGTGAACCAGCCGAGATATCCATGGTCGGATGGTCCTGAATTTATCACTCAGTGTCCCATAAAACCAGGTCACAAGTTTAGCCAAAAGGTCATATTTTCTGAGGAGGAAGGCACTCTGTGGTGGCATGCTCACAGTGACTATTCTCGAGCCACAGTTCACGGCGCTATTGTCATCAAACCCAAGCCTGGAACTAACTACCCATTTCCAAAGCCACATGCTGAAGTTCCCATTATATTAGGTATCGAATCTCATAATTATATATTATTTGAGAACTCAAGTTTTTAATATTTTTAGCGAAAGAAGGATAATGAGAGATAAAAGACACAACGGTAACAAAGAAAGAGAGAGACATAATTCAGAAATGACTTTGTATCATTTTCCATGTTTTGAACAGCGCCACTATAAGGGGTATATATACGGATAACTATTCTAGAATATTCCTAGGGCCAGCTGTACACAAACATGTGCTGTGAGTTACAATTTCAATTTTCACGAGTGTTGCTGTGTTTGGGCTTCAGGAGTGTACGTCTTGGGCTGCTCTTTGGTGATAGATGTAATTGGGCTTGTCGGTGTTCTAACAAATATAAACTTTCAAAGACCATAGCTTAACTTGTGAATTGTATAAATGCAGGAGAATGGTGGAAACAAGATATCGTCCAGGTTTACAATGACTTTCGTGCAAGCGGAGGTGACCCCGTGGTGTCTGACGCTTTCACCATTAATGGCCAACCTGGTGATACTTATGCATGCTCCGGTTCGGGTAATTATACATACAAAAATATGCTTTTTTGAACAACTATCCATATGTTGGTTCTCTTGTGAAACTCAAAGTTAGTAATATAATCTGGGTATTTGTAATCATGGCAGAAACTTTCAAGCTGAATGTTCGACATGGCAAGACCTATCTGCTTCGAGTGATCAATGCAGCACTGGAACAAGTTCTCTTCTTTGGAATTGCCAATCATAAACTGACAGTGGTGGGAACAGATGGAAGCTACATAAAGCCTGTGAAAGTAGATTACATCACAATCTCACCTGGTCAGACTATGGATGTTCTATTAGAAGCAAACCAACCAATAGATCGCTATTACATGGCTGCCAAAGCATATTCCAGTTCTCCTAATGTCCTTTTTAGCCCTTCAAACACCACTGCCATCCTTCAATACAAACGAACCAGACACAATATGCCAACTT